GGGGGTTTCGGAGGTTCAAAAAAAGGGTATTTTTCCTAATTTTTTTTTAGTATATACAATCATATATTTTATTTAAACAATTCAGCATATCAAAGATACATACTTAAACAGTATTTTATGAAATTTTGTGAGTTATGATGTCCGGGGCAAGAGCATTTTTATTTTTTTGAGACGTCAAGGGAGATGAGGTACCAACGGCTGAGTTTTCGGATTTTTTAAATAAAAATTTCACATAATACTGTTTAAATATGTATCTTTGATATGCTGAATTGTTTAAATAAAATATATGATTGTATATACTAAAAAAAAATTAGTAAAAATACCCTTTTTTTGAACCTCTGAAACCCACCTAACCCTTAATACAAAATAATTTTGAGTCTCTGGTCCAAATCTCAAAAGTTTTCTAATTAATTGTAATTATACTTATTAATTTAATAAATTTGCTGTAGCTAGTATTTAATGTAACAAATAGATGGGAGATAGAAATCCAAGATAGTAATGATGATGCTAATGATATCGGGGTTTTAAATAGCAACTGTATTAATGTCCTCGTAGGTATTTATAAGTGGAGATAACAGGCTATGGCCAACCTGAACTTTGAGCAGCCACCAAGGAGTATAGCGACAGCGAGTCTTTCTTCACGAGGAGCTGGCGGAGGGGGCTTAAGCTCTTCCACCCTCGTGGGTCATGTCACACCTACCTCGGGCATGTTCTCAGGGTCTGCGAGTACCTCGAGTACGGCGAACTCGGCGATTGTCGGGGCCAGCATTTATCCAGGCGCCTCAGGCGCAGCGTCTCAGTCTGTTGGGCATCAACCTCAACAGCAACAGCTCTCTCCCATGGGCACCAGGGGACTGTTTGGCCAGAGAGCTTTTGCGGACAGACGAACTATGCCTTCTCTTGGGTCAGTTTATGGCCAGCCTCTTATTGGTCCAACAATAAATAAATAAATATAATTATTTTACTATGAACAATTACTACAACACAAAACTATCCAGCGTATCTTCATTTTCAGGATCCACTTAGTCTGTTTTATCTCCAAAAAAATATCCTTACTGTTCACCTGCATGACATTTATTATATACACTTACTAATTTTATTATTAATTTATTTTATTAATTATTTAATGAGGAATTATTAACCTGACTGTTAATTTTACAGAAACTCTAATCCAATGGGTAGTATGGGAAGTTTTGGAATACCTCAGAGTCGGAGTTACGGATCTCAAGGTGCGATCAACAATTTTCATTCTGTGTTTGGGAGCGGAGGAGGCGGAGACACCAGCACCCCTCCACTGTTAGACCTCTCGGAGTTTCCCTCGTTGACGAATCGAGGCCAGGGCGACTCTATGCCTCAACCTAGCCCGATGCCGGGCAAACAAGCTTATGGTTCGTTTTTATTTGTGATAAGATTTAGTAATTACATTGGCTAAACCATAACGTAGATCCTTATCTCGTTGCAGTTGGTATGGTAAAACAGCCGACGTCTGAAGCGAGCGAATTCACGATGAGCTCTGAAGACTTTCCTGCGTTACCTGGCACGCAAAGCAGGGAAGGTCCATCTCCTGGCGGAAGTATAACAGGGGATAAAAATCTCTCGGTTGGTCTTGGTCCTGAAATCGGTCAAGATGTACTACAAAATAATAGAGCACCTGGTTCCGAAAAGTCACAAGCGTCGAAAAGAGGCATCCAAACGTCACCTGATGGTATTTTTTATTTTAATATTTAAATCCTGATTTTCATTCATTTTTTTAAGGTATAAAAAATTAATATTATTTATTGAAACTATCAGGCTATTTTATAGATATATTCATGAGTATTTTTTCGTATTAAACAACAATATAGCTTAACAAATAGCGGAGAGATCAGCTGATACACATCGTAGGTTGTCATCCGACTTAGCAGTTGGTGTGCAGTATGGAAGCCACAATTTTTATCTGAAATCATTGGCACAGAAAAATTACTTTTTTTATACGTGTATCTTCTATATGAACCTCAATTTAAAAAAAAAAAAAAAAAAAAAAGTAAAAATTTGCATTTTTTAGAGGGCTGGGAAATTAAGTCGTGATTTTTTACCATTTTTTCATACACTGTTTATTAAAAAAAAATAGTTTTAATAAAAATATCGCTTATGATAGAGGTTCATATTCAGCGTAATTGTATAAAGAAAAGTAATTTTTCTGTGCCATTAATTTCAGATAAAAATTGTGCCTCTCATAGTGCACACCAACTGCTAAGTCAGAAGACAATCTACGATGTATATCAGTTGATATCTCCGCTGCTTTTCAAGTTATATTATCGTAAAATATGGGGAAATATATATAATACTGAAGTTAGCCATCAGCTGTTAATTAAAAAAATTTTTTTATTAAATCAATTACAATAAAAAAATCCGCCTAAAAATTTTCACTTGTAATTTTTATTAATTTTCACATGTAGAACTTTTTAATTAATTTGTTTTTATAATAATTTAATTACTACAAAATTCTAAAAAAATTTATGTCAGTCAACTTCAGTGTTATAAATATAAGTTTAAAATAACCTGATAGTTTCATTAAATAACATAAATTTTCATATCTTAAAAGAAATAAATAAAAAATCAGCATGAAAACGTTTTTCTTCCCTTAATTAAATTTTGGTATTTTTAATATTGTAATTATTAATTATATATTTTTTTTTTTTTAGGAAAAGTAACGAATATACCAGCAAGTATGGTGAAAGATCAATTTGGAATGGTAGGATTGTTAACGTTTATTAGAGCAGCAGAAACGGATCCTAATTTGGTATCACTGGCACTCGGTCAAGACTTAACAGCACTAGGACTAAATCTAAATTCTCCTGAAAACCTTTACCAAAATTTCGGTGGACCCTGGGCGGAGACGTCATGTCGACCGCAGGATATTGACTTTCATGTGCCGCCAGAGTATCTCATAAATGCAGCTATAAGGTACTAGATTAATTTATTTAAAAAAAAATGTTTTTTTTTTTTTTATTTTTTTATAAATTATAAACCGGAATTATAAAATATAAAAGGAATTATTTATTTAAACATATCAAATATTTGTCACTCATATCAATAATACAATCTCATTTGTTTTATTTATTCAAGAGATAAGTTGGCACCTGTAAAACTGAACCGGTACAAGGATGATCTCTTGTTTTATATGTTTTATACGAATGTTGGTGATGTGTTACAATTAGCCGCAGCGGCTGAATTGTAAGTACTAAGTATAATCAGCTTAACAAGTTTAGGCTTTTAATTATTGTTATTAATCTTGAATTATAAGTCATGAAATTGATTAATCGTGTTTGTAATTAAACAGGTATAGCAGAGAATGGCGGTATCATATGGAGGAGAAGGTTTGGATTACGCAAGCACCAGGTCTTGGATTGGTTGAAAAAACTTCGACGTATGAACGTGGTACTTATTATTATTTTGATGCGCAAAACTGGAGAAAAGTAGCCAAGGAATTCCATCTTGACTATACGAAGCTGGAGAGTAGACCTCATCTTCCTACGACCTTTCATCAAACCCAGCCTTGACTGCAGGTTAATTGACAACCATTAACAAAAATGCCTCTTAGATCGACGTTGTGCTAGATTAATATTATTTTTATTTTTTATTTTTTTTTTTTTTTTTTCCGTATTTTTACTTATATTACGCTTGTTTAGTTCTGTTTATTTACAGTTTTATTATTGAGAAATAAATGAAAATGAAAGTTGATACTTGTTTCAGATTTCTCTGTGGATACTTGAGCTGAATATGCGCTGGGCGAATCCAGCAATTGTATAAATGAACAAATTTAATAATCTTTAATAAAAACATTAAATTCGAAGAGTAATAAATAAAAAAAAAAAGACATTTCTTGCACGCCAGCTTTTATATATTCCATTTTGCATTTAAATAATTCCTCCATTTACTAGAAATTTATTATTTATTTTTTTTTTTTTTAGTAAAAAAAAATTATTAAACATTTTTCTTTATTAACATTTATTTATTTCTTAATTTTTCTGCTTTTTCCACCAAGGCAATAACTCCCTCAGAGGCTTTTATTTTGTTGCCCTCGATGTAATTCCGACTATTATCTTCAGTCTCACTCAGAAAGTATCTGTAATTAACCATCAGTCCGCAGCTGTGCTCCGAGCCACGGGGTGACGGATCAGCCATCCAATTTATTCGCCACATCACAGCCCCGTTACGAAGATGAAAGTTTGCTGTCAATTAATTATTAATTGCTTTATTATCAATATTACGTATTACTTATAATGCTATCACCATTTATTGATTATTAGTACCAACCGACAGCATTAAGAGCGTAATTACGTCGCTTCTCTCTGTATAAATACCACGCACAAGCTCTCATCAATGGTTCTTTCAATTCACTAACAATATATTTGTCATTCATCCACAGAGAATTATTAAATAATTTTTTCAACGCTAAAAAAATATCATCAGTACTTAAAATATTTTTTATGTTTATTAATTCATCTTCGGTGAAGATTGAGGTAGGATCTGAAAAAAAAAAAAAATTTTTTTTGTAAATATTTACACGGAAAGAACAAGATCACACTGGGTATCATCCCAAATTACCGTGTTTTTGCCGTGTAGGGTCCTCTATTTTAATGTTAATTTTTTTGAACGAAATTTCTATTTGATTTTATTGATACATTTTTTTTTTAAAAATACAAAAAAATGAACAATTTAAAAAAAAAAGTTGATTATCACAATTTAACAAATTTTCAAAAAAAAAGATAAAATAGAAATTTCATAAGTAGGGTCAACCATTTTCATTTTTTTGAACGTAATTTCTATTTGATTTTATTGATATATTTTTTTTTTTGAAAAATACATAAAAAAATAAACGATTAAAAAAAAAAGTTGATTATAACAATTTTATAAATTTTTTAGAAAATTGTGATATTCAACTTTATTTTTTTTAATTGTTTTTTTTTATGTACTTTTCAAAAAAAAGTATACCAAAAAAAGATAAAATAAAAAATTTTATCCAAAAACATGAGAGCCAAAATTTTTTCCAACTTTTGAAGGCAAAAAAGCTATCAAAATTTTTATTTCTTTCTTTCACGATATTTTTTATTATAAATGAGCCGTAAAAACAAGCAGAATAAAAAAAAATAAATTAAAAACTGTTAATTTTTCATCTAGATATGACCAAAAATAAAATGGACCCCACTTGTAAATAATTACCAAATTTTTTAATTTAATTTACTAGATCAATTGATTAATCTAATTACCTTGTTTAATATTATCAAGTAACCACAGTCTAAACTTTGGGATAGGTGATAAACTTGAAAGCTGATCGATCATTGGAAATTCACGTGTCACTTCCTTAGCAACTTCCTTGATTAAATAATTACCAAGCTCAATACCCTAAATTAAATTTATAAAATTAACATCCTGGTGTATTTTTTTAAACACCATAAATTTATTTTTACTTTTAATCCCTTTTGAGTAGTAGCAATTGAGTAAAACACCGCAGCTTTTATGTGATTAACATTTTCATATATTGACAGAGCTGTAGTTTTTTCGACAATTCGTTTTTCAGCTTCTTCAATACCCTTAACAGTCTCTGGAATTACATCACAAAGAGCCGTGTGAAGGACTACCAAAGGCTCTCGAGGCATTGAAGGATGTGTAAATATATAACAGCGACGATAAGGGCCCACCCGCCGTTTCAAGTCAATCCAATTCTTTATAGGATGTATTGCTTCGTAATCTGAAATCTTTTTTAATAAAATTTATTTATTTATACACGACTATTTATTGCATAAGATTAATTATATATAATTTACCTTCTGTAACATGTCGCAAGAACTCTGCCATGTTATCCGCTCCAAGTGTAAAAATCCAACGCTGAACCAAAGTAATAGTAAATCATGCAGAGTCAAATTTAATTGCTGCATTATCGCCGATTTTTCAGCATCTGTAGACTCTGATAATAATTCCTGAAAGTCTAGGGCTTTTTTAATATTCATATATTTATATATTTATTTTTTTATATTGTGATAAAAGTACCAGAACGTCAGTCCGTAAATCAACGAGAAATTTAACTCCACCTTCCAATCTTCCCATTAAAACAAACAGCCAGTGATACCGAGGAGTAAGAGCTTTTTTTAATGTATTTTCTCTAGTTAGTAATTTTTGATAATTTTCTTCCTGAAAAAAAATTATTTTTTTTAATATGTAACCTTTTTATAAGATTAAAAAAAATTTTTTCAATTAGGGTAAAAGCCCCAATAGATGATCACGTACCATTATATGATAACTCCATGTATTTGTATATCTATATTCACAAATATAGGTATACAAATACATGGAGTGATCATATACTGGTACATGATCATCTATTAGGGCTTTTACCTTATCTGTATTATTAAGAGAATAAGAAAAATTTTGTGTCCAGGATAGTCATATGAGCAAAAGGCTGCATTCAAAAATGATCTGTCTCTAGATACATAATTAAGAAATGAGCTTGGATCTCGTGAACTATTGACATTTTTAAAGATATAAGCTCATCCCGATGTTACACTCATCGAGACCTTTCATTAGAGTACCCACATCAATTTTTCATATATTTATATATGTTATATATATATATGAATATATGAAAAATATATCAAAATGCATGTGGGTACTCAAATGAAAGCTCTTAATGAGTGTAACATCGGGATGACTTTATATCTTTAAAAAGGTCAATAATTAAGTAATGATCTCGTATATTGTGAACTATTGACATTTTTAAAGGTATAAGCTCATCCCGATGTTACACTCATCAAGACTTTTCATTTGAGTACCCACATCAATTTTTCATATATTTATATATATTATATATATGTATATATGAAAAATATATCAAAATGCATGTGGGTATTCAAATGAAAGCTCTTGATGAGTATAACATCAGGATGAGCTTATATCTTTAAAAACGTCAATATTTAAGAAAGTACAGTACAATTCAATAATAGTCATTATTTAATAAAGCAAAATTTTATTTATTTATAGTTCATAAGTCACGGCAGTCACATAGTGACTGCAAGGTTGCTAGTTTTAATTAAGGACTTACTTGTGTTGATGAAATTTTATCAGCAAGATTTTGAATATGTTTATGATCAACTGCATATTTCAAAGCCAGTGCCCAGAGGAAATCCTGTTTGCTCTCTATTGACAAATTTTTATACATACAACACAATGTTTCTACTTTGTTCTGTAAAAAAAAAATAATTAATTAATTAAAGGATTATAGTATGGATAATTAAAATGTATAAATATAAATATAAATTACTTCGATGATCCAATTACTGATATTAGTCTCTTTAAATTTAAAAATTTCATCAACAAGGTCTTCATTAATCCGAGCATGTAACGTATTTTTAGGTGGATTCAAATGTCTTGATGCCGAATCTGATAAAGCCGCTTTGATAATATGACGAGAATTATAATCTACGTTTGAAAATAGTAATTTATTTAGGCGAAACACTTTTGCACTGTGACAAATTAATTTTTTAAACATGTTTGCTGTTGTGACATTTGTTTACAAAAAAAAAAAAGATTATCGAGTCATCATAAATGACCCATGTGTTTACTTGGGTTAACTTACTGCAACTATTGGTACAAAATAACAAACGGTTAATTAACCGTAAATTTTATTTTAGTAAAATATAATTCTCTCAGTTTATAAAAATTCACCATAAGAAGAAAAAAAAAATAGTTCGCTTAATTTATTTTTATAAATAGTCTTTTAAAATGAAATTTACTTTTGAGTAATATTTTTTAATAAATCAAAATTAATCTGCCTTTTCATTAACTTGATAAATCTTTTAGCAATACAAGAATTTTTTTTAAAAGCCTGCATGTATTCATACCAAATGATAAATTGTAACTCTGTGAACTTGAACGAAAAATGACAACCTTCAACTTTTAAAGAATCATTGCAAGTTTTGAGGAGAGGCTTGACAGACGTTTTTTTTATACTAAGAAAAATCTTGAAGAAAAATTTCCTGTCTAATTTTTTTATGTCAAACATGTTGACCAGGAGGAGGAAACATCTTTCTGCCGACATCTTGGCAGCGGCTCGAATAGTTTTAATGATAGTTTTTTTGGAATTTATCCGCGGATCCAGGACAAATTTGTATAACTTCAGCAATCCCATGAATTTAGAAATTCGGCGGATGAATAAGCTGAAAATATTATTAGATCGTTTATTTACAGTAAATTTTACGGAAATAAATTAAACTTGATAAACTATGAACTTACTTCAATAATTTATACCCAGTTTCTTTGTTCATTTTCAAGCTGTATCTTACTGGGACACCAGAGTAATCTGGTCTCACCTCCATAGTCTTAATATTATAGTAAAATCCGAGGAAACTAAATTCCTCCTTATCAGCTGAATCTAAATTTGACAAACTCTTTTCAATTTGGAAGTTACAATTATAACCCTGGATTCCAGTTTGAGTCATTTTCCAAAACCTGTTTTTATTAAATTACCAATATTTAATTAATCAATGGACTAAAAAATAGAAAATAATTACAATTGATACAGAAAACTTACTTCTCTGCTGCTTCTCTGTTATCAGTCAAATATAAAAAATCATCAACGTAGCGATACAAACTTCCCAAATTCTTAAATTTTTGTAACTCTTGAACCTCCATATCGTGATAGTAAATTTCGCTTAGTACAGCAGACAGCGGTAGACCCTGGCCAATTCCTTGTTTCAATTTAAAATATTTACTCCTTAGTCGAACCTGCAGAAATGATGATATTAAAGTTAGCAGTTACTTGATCATTTTTTTATTTTTTTTAACAAACAAATTTGTTCTAAAAAATTACATTTTTTATTTTTTTTTTGCAATAATTTATTTCTAAAAAAAAATAGTTTAAATTATCAAAAATCTGCTAAATTAATTTTCATGCAGAAATATTCATCAAGAAGCATCATTATTGTTTTTTATCATTTAAATAATGACTACTAACCATTTTATTTAAAACTTCATCCTTGATAAATTGTTTAATCTCTTCTCTACTGACAGTTGTAGTATATTTATTTGGCGGATTTATAGGGCAGTATAGAGAACCTGAAGGTAGTAAAGGTGGAAAATAATCAAAACCTAGACATTCATACTCCACAAAATCTGTCAACGTCTCTCTTGTTGGCCTTAGCAGTGCAATCGGTTTACTTGTCAATACTTCTGGTAAATTATCGTCTAACAATTTTCCTGCAACTTCCAGCAGTTTATTTTGAATTATGGAACCATAAGCATCCTTAATATCACAGCAGACAAAGTAAAGTGGTTTATCGCCATTGACTTTGCGAAAATTACATATGTCATCCCAGATTCTTTGAGTAATGTGTGGCTTTTGAGGTGGGTTGGTAGACAAATACAATCGTTTCAGAATATTCTGAAATATTTTAGATTCTTTCTTTTGGCTTTCATCAGTTCTATAATGTAACAAAAAAAAAAAAATAGTTATATTATTGAATAAATAATAAAAAAAATCGTCTATTAATTTTATTATAAAAAATAAATATACCTTTTCACTAGCACTGGACGCAACCCCGACTTTTTAGCGTAGAATCTCAGTTTAGGAACAAATGACCCGTCTATTGTTTTGGCTTCATCGTTTGGTATCGGCTCATAGACATTTTCACGTGTTTTGTTGAGCATATGCTGATGAATTGTTCCTCTTTTAATCCAGCGATGGATGATAATTTTTTCGTAGTTTGCTGCTTGAGGCTTTTCACAATATAAGTACGAGTAAATTATGTGCCAAATAAATTTGTCGAAAAACCAATTTAAAACTTGAGCCAACAAGTACATTTTATTGGATTTAAGAGACACTTTATCCAGCCAATTTATTGAATCGATCTAAAATGATAAATATATAATTATTATTATTATCTTTATTATTAAGAGAATAAGCAAAATTTTGTGGCCAGTGTATTTATATGGATAAAATGGGTTTTTATAATTAAATTTGGTATCGTTGGAAAAGTCTTAACCTGGAGTTGTGCCTTTTCATAGTTTCATATCATTCTCACCAATAGTCAATTTATGATGATAAGTATTGAGGCTGCATTCGAAAATGCTCTATCTCTAGGTACATAATTAAGAAATGACCTTGTATCTTGCGAACTATTGACATTTTTAAAGATATAAGCTCATTTTGATGTTACACTCATCGAGACCTTTCATTTGAGTACCCACATCAATTTCTCATATATTTATATATATATATATATATATGTATATATGAAAAATATGTCAAAATGCATGTAGGTACTCAAATGAAAGCTCTTGATGAGTGTAACACCGGGACGAGCTTATATCTTTAAAAATGTCAAGAGTTAAGAAAGTACAGTGCAATAATTAAGAAACTATATGAAAAAATATATGAAAAATGCCATGTCGGTACCCAAATGAAAGGTCTCGATAAGTATAACATCAAAATGAGCTTATATTATTATATATATTATTTCTTTAATTCGTCCATACAAAAATAATTCAAAGTATAGCATTTAATGAAAACAATGAAATTAAAGGTAATAAAAAAATAAAAATTCAAAATTAAAGTCTGTTATTTAAATCTAGATTAAATTAGATTACTTCAATCGACTTATATATTCTCAATTACTTACGTCCATACTCAGTAGCAGTTTTTCTAGTGTAAAATCTTCGCTTCCTGATTCCAAGTACCGTCTAAGTGTTTGTTTTATTTTGGCATTATTTGTTTTGTTGCCAAAAAGCTGATTAGGTACAATGTGATATAATATTTTAGAGAAAAACTCATAAACTTGCTTTTGAGATAGCTGTCCTTCAAGAAGATTTCTATCTTGAGAAAATCTGTCCAAAAAAATATTGTACCGGAACTGCCTACTTTTCTTTGCGAACATGAGCATAATCGATGATAAATGTAAATGACAGCTCTTATACTCAGGTGATTTTTTGTTTAATATATTTAGAAAACCTCGATCATCTTTTAAAAACAACGTAGCTGCTTTGTGCTCGTGACATTTCATCCCATTTAAATTTTGCGTGATAATTTTTTTAGTTTTTAAATGTAATGCAAACTCTGATGCAGACCGAGGATGTGAGACTTCTCCCGTGCTGGTACTTGAAGCAGATGCTTGGCCTGATTCAGGTTTTTCACTTAAAATATCTATCGAACGCCTGAAATCAGCTTGAAACAAAAAATTATCCTCCTTACTCAAATTACAATAAATAAATTTCGCAAAATATAATCAGGAGATTTTATTTTTTAAGACTTACCATAGAGATGTAAATTGTCTTCTTGATCCTCATCATGTTTCTTAGGGGCGTAGAGTTTAATTTTATTTTTTTTTCTGACTTTGTCCTTTTTTGTATTTACTGAGGGTAACTTAAAGTTCCACTCATCTTTTGAAAAATTTTCTGCCAAAGAATAAGATCCAAATATATCTTCTTTCAGAGTGACTTTTTTTGTAACTAAAAAACTGTGATGAAAAAAATTTATTACATAGTGGGTTTATTAAATTTTTATTCGGATGAAAAATGACAGATATTGAAAATAGCAGGCACCAGTTCAAGAATAATTAAATGCATGAACAAGTCAACTGTCAAAATTAAAAATGCAATTTTTTAAAACTAATTTTTAGAACTTTTGTTAATAAATAAACTGTGGGAAAAAAAATAAGAAAAAAAAATTGACATGTAGAAATTTAAAAAAATTAAAAATGCAATTTTTTTAAAATAATTTTTTAGAATTAATTTAATTGTTAAATAAAATTAAAAATTTGTCAAGTGACAGCTAACTTTAATATCGTCATGATAAATCAATGTTTTATAATTTTATAAAATAAAAATATTTGCTTACTTAACCACATCAGGACCGTGCCGTTTTCTAATCTCAACATAATTTGAATTCTCTGAAATGTCATTCATTTTTTTTTTATTCAATCAAAAAATTAATTATAATTTTTTTTATCAATTCTTGCACATTTTTAATTTTTTTTTTTATTCCACCGGCCGGTTGTTTTGAGGAATTATATTACATCAGCTGATTATGAACAGAATGATTTCGCTGGAATTTTAGTTAAGAAAAGATTAATAAATAAAATTAACACAAATTATGATTATTGAAATTTTTTAATCATTTATTAGTAATTGTATAATGATATGAATTTCAATGAATACTTACTATTTTAATTAAAAAGTAAACAGTAAGGTGAATAACGGTCAGATTTCCATATTTTTCTGTAAAAGAATTCTCAAGTTCTTAATTATGGGTTCTGGCGCTTCTATCTTCTTCTCATAAAAAGAGAAATTTAAATTGCGCGCTTTTATTTTAGCCAATAAGAAATCAGGATTTATATTCTTTCGATAGTTCGATTTATATCGAAAATTTCGAGACTAACTTCACTTCGATTTTGAAATTTTTTAACAAGTTTCTCAAATTTCAATCAATCTTCGGATATTTTCTGTTTTAATTTATAAAATTATTATAAATAAGCTAAATTAATTAATTATACATAAAGCATAAAAAACAAAAAGCAAAATATATTTTTTAAAATTCAATTTTCCGCGCGGAAGCTAAAAGACGGTTTGTCGGTTAGTAAGCAGATTCTTCTCACTCTCCGAGGAGCTCAGACGTATAACTGTAGCATCCTCATTCAATTATGTTATTTTTTAATGTTTTAATCAATTATTACCTTCAATTCATTATTATACCCTTAAATAAAGTAACTATTAGTCGAAATACGTCATAATTACGTTAAATCAACAAAATAATTGTCAGTACGAATAAATTTTTTGCTCGCGCCAAAAAGCCGGGAAAGTTCCATGTCAAAATCGGAAGTATTAAAAAATATTAAATTGTTTATTGACAAGTAATCAAATAAAAGTTGTTTTATTCAACATTTTTTTTTTCTAATAATTAAGTGTATTGTAATTAGTGATACTTGTGGTAATTAGTGTGTGATTAGCAGATAATAGTGAAAAATTTAACAGGCGCCATTTGCTGTAGTTAATTTCTAGAGTCTTCCGCTGAGGTAATTATTGCTATCAATTTTTTCAAAAATACAAATTTTTTATCATATTTCACTTGTCTAATTATTTATTTAATTATTTCAGAATTATCAGTAAGGTGCAAACGCCATCTGGATGATTCTCGGCGTGGTGAGAAATGCATGAAATTATTTATATATTATTTATTTGTCTTCTTTTAATTTTATATATTAATTTTTTTACAATTTATGATACAAAATAATTTTTTCATACCAAAATTTTATATTTTTTATCAAAGCGTTAAATTAAAATTCCCAGAATTACAAGTAACGCTATCTCTTGATATTTTCATAAACTTCAACATCAATTTTTCTTTTACTAAAAAATATCTCAACATTACCTCATAGGTTACAAAACAATATATTTTTTATTTATAAAAATTTTGTGTTTATAAATAATTATTTTTTACTATATATAAGTGTGGCTATTTTTATTATTTGTGACGTATAATTATTTAACCACAGTAAGTACAAAATTACTTATCTTTACTGTCATAAAAAATAATTTTTTATTTATCTAAAATTATTATTTATTTAAAAATAAACAATAAAATTTTCAGACCAAACGAATAGATGGGCCTATCACCCATCGTGCGTAACATCCTAATAGGAATTCCTATCGGAGTGACGTTTGTCTACAACGTCGGGACTATCGCACGTGTTGATGGAGTCTCTATGCAGCCAACGTTGAACCCTGATTCAAAAACAACTGACTACGTATTTTTAAGTCGCTGGAAGATCCGCAATAACGATTTCAACCGAGGTGACATTATATCTTTTGTGTCACCCAAGCATCCCGACCAGACGTTGATAAAGCGCGTGATAGGTCTGGAAGGTGATGAAATTAACACAATTGAATACAAGCTTCCGTACGTGAGGGTACCAAAAGGTCATTGCTGGGTTGAAGGCGATCATACGGGCTACAGTGTTGATTCTAACACATTTGGTCCCATTTCTTTGGCTCTAGTGACTGCTCGAGCGAGCTGCATCGTCTGGCCGCCTAGTAGGTGGCAGATGCTCACTCCAGATTTGCCAAAACACCGTATTCCTGCCAAGCTGGTGGATCAGCACCAATTAATTAGTAATTAGACACACAATTGAGCGATGAGGGCTGTCAATTTTGTTCAGAGACTGCAGTGGGATATCAATGGCAATGTTCTGACTCATGGAATTGTCATTGGTGACGTTGACAATGATGGAGACAATGAATTAGTCGTTGGTACCTCAGAAGGAGAGCTGTACATTTTTAAAGTAATTTTATATATTATTATTTTTTTCTATTTTATTGTCCATATTATTAAGAGAATATTTGGTATCAATATTATATACATTCTCACTGATAGTCAATTTATTATGATAAGTATTTAGGCTGCATTCGAAAATGTTCGATCTCTAAATATATAATTAAGAAATTGCCTTGTACCTTGTGAACTATTGACATTTTTAAAGATATAAGCTCATCCCGATGTTACACTCATCAAGACCTTTCATTTAAGTACCCACATCAATTTTTCATATATTTATATATATTATATATATGTATCTATGAAAAATATATCAAAATGCATGTGGGTACTCAAATGAAAGCTCTTGATGAGAGTAACATCGGGATGAGCTTATATCTTTAAAAATGTCAACCTTTAAGAAAGTACACACAATAATTAAAAAACGACCCTGTATCTTGTGAAATATTGACATTTTTTAAGACATAAGCTCATTCCGGTGTTATACTCATCAAGACCTTTCGTTTGAATACCAACGTCATTTTTTCATATATTTATATATATTATATATATGTATATATGAAAAGTATATGAAAATGCATGTGGGTACTCAAATGAAAGCTCTTGATGAGTGTAACATCGGGATGAGCGTATATCTTTAAAAATGTCAATAGTTAAAAAAGTACAATGCAATTTAACAAAAGTCATTATTTAATAAAGCAAAATTTTATTTATTTATAGTTCACAAGTCACGACACTCGCATAGTGACTGCAAGGTTGCTAGTTATTGTTATTGTTTTATTATTTAAAATTTAATTTTACAGGGAACTGAAGTCTGGCATAAGACAACTGGACTAGGATTGATATCCTGCGTCGCTATAGGTGATATATTTAATTATGGACGAAATGCATTGGTTGTAGTATGTAGCGATGGTTGGGTTCACATTTATTACAGTCCACGGTCAGTTAATCCCAGTACAAATTCTACTTATTCACAAGTTATTAATAAAGAGTTTTTAGATAAAATGGGTGAGTAATAAGCAATAAAAATGTACATAAAAATTCAACTCTGTATAATAGGTATTAACAGTACTTATTTTTTATGAAAAATAATTTAGAAGATATTTACTGATTTTTAGAATTTTTTTAACAGATAAATTTTGGCAAAAAAAAAAAGAAAAATAAAATTGACATGTAGAAATTAAAAAAAAATAATTTTTCGTCAAAAATTTTTCTGTTAAATAAAATAAAAAAATTATCAAGTGAGTGCTAACTTTAATATCATTTATTTTTTAGGTGGAATTAATTTTGACCACTTTTCAAGTTCCGCAGAGTCGGATCAACTGTCTAGTAAAATGGAGTGTGTACATTTACAGAGAATTCCTACAAATACAAAATTTATTCTGATCGCAGATGTAGACCGTGATGGTGCTAATGAAATGATTCTAGGATTAACAGATCGTGTTGTTAGGTCTTACAGATGGTCGAGTAACGCTGATTTAGGTACTGGTAAACTTATTGGATTAAATAAATGGGAGTGTGCTAATCAAATTGGCACTGTAACACTTCAGGTAATTTTTTTTACTTAAAATTTTTTAAATTTATATTTTTATATTAAAAATTTTTTATAATTTTCAGCATACGAGTGACGGCACTCCGACATTACTAGTAGCTCAGCCAGGAGGTACATTTATGCGTATAAAATGTAACCGAGATGACTGTGAACTGAGAGATGATGATTCCAAGAACGAAGCAGCTGCGAGTTGCGTTGACTATCAAACCCTAGGAATCTCCAGGATGCGAAACCCGAATATCTCAACTGCCATTATAGGAAACTTGGAACCTGGTACCACAAAATTTCTAGTCTCCGATGAATCGCCACCAAAATTCGTGCCAAAAGACACTAGTGTTAAGCATACCTTTGAAAGTTCAACAAAAGAGAAGAAGAAATTCAAAACAGGATCCCTTGAATTCAAACGCAACTACTCGCAGCTAGACACTCGGAAGCGAAGCTTAGACGAGAGTGCAGGCAAAAGAGATAATATCATTCGCGAGCCCACAAGAGTTGACGAAGGAAGTTCCGATGTTGATCAAGTCGATGGCAATGTACTTGGTGGGAACATTATCCTAGGAGACTTTGAAAGCAATCCGCCTAAAAAATCCGTCTTACCAACGTATAATGATTTCTCACATACCAAACTCAGTTCTGATGAATCGACGCAAGAAGACGTCGATGTTAATGTTAATTCAAATGATAAAGTTATTATTAATAGCAAACCCTATGCACTAGCCACTCTCGATGGTACAATTATGCTTGTTAAAGATGAAATTATTTTATGGTAATTAATCAATGTCTTAATTTATATAAAATTATTTCCTGTGTGTGTTTTTAAGCCATTAATTTGTATTTTTATTTTTAATTGCAGGGCGATGCAAGTAGATCATTTGATATTCGCGTTATCGCGATTAGACGTAACGGGCGATGGTTCTGATAAAATAGTAGTATGTGCTTGGGACGGACACACTTATTTCCTCGATCAGGAGTGCAATTCCGTACGGTTTCAATTTGAAGAATCCGTGAGAGCTTTCTGCGCTGGAAATTACAGTTTGAGTGCCGGTACATCAACACCCAGCCTTGTTTACGCAACTTTTACTAATAAGGTAAAAAAAAAAATGTGTGTGTACCAGGGTACATAAGTAAGAAGTGAAACTTCTTTATGACATCATTTTTCTACGATTTACAATTTCACAGAAATTGGGTCGATAAGGCTTAAGAAAAAAAATTTTTTTCAGTATTAAATCAAAGTTATTTTAGTATCATAGATATGCATACAAATAATATGAGTAATTCATTTTATTATTGCTCTTATTATAGTTATTGTATTTCATCAATTATGATCGCATCGTAATTACCATTGTCATTATTTAGATTCTGTCATTATTTAATCTAAAAATTAGTTAATCAGTTTACAAAAATTATATAAGGAACTTTAATATTCATATTTCATGTCATAACTTAGTAAAAATAATTTAAAGCAGATATTTAATAACTTACTCAATTACGCAAGTTATGAGTCAATAATTGGAATTATCTATTATAAATTACAACAAATCGATATCAAGTAGCAATTAAAGTAGGAAATTTCCTACGAAATAAAATGATTTTCTTCGAATTCAAAATAAATAAATAAATCATTAGAAACGATTAATTAAAAAAGATGTACGTATACATATTTTGTTTTCTAATTGTGTTTTGTTTTATTTTTAAATTATTATTTAATTTTTTTTAGAATTAAAAATGTTTACTAGATTTATTTTTTACATCGCTATACTAAACTTTGAAAAAAAAAAAAAAAAAAACCATGGCGCGCAACCGAAAATCGTGACGATGTTTTTTACATTGCTATAAAATTTCTCTCATCCGTCAATAAAGAAGTTTCACTTCAAAAATAATTTAATAATTGTTCAACTCTTGATTTAATAATTAAAATAAATTCTAATATATGTTTCATCTTCATCAGAATAAATTTATTTTTTTTTAATATTATTACATTGAATTTATTTTTTACAGATTTTTTTGTATTACGACGTAATGCTTCCAAGTATGCTCGCCAAAGGCCTAGATCCGCTGGAGTCTCTGTCACCGGAACAGAAAAAAATGATAGACAATTTATTCGGTGAATGCTCAGACTCTGAGAGAGACAAAAAGATGCAGCAACTCACTGAGTACTTATTATACGGAATGAAGGTTGACGAGTAAGGTCTGGTGTCCAATGTCTAGATGACGGTGTAAATTTAAAATAATATATACATATAGATATATTGAAGTTTTATACATAAAAGAAGACTATAAATAAATAAAAATATATTAAGAAATATTATTTATTATTATAAAGGTTGCTGAAGAAAAATGTGAATGAAAAAGGTAAAAATTTTGGTAGATTAGAAAGATCTATTCCCGAGTGACAAAAGAAAAACAAGATCTATAGGCAGGATTTAAAAAATGAGGTAAAAGAAACGTTTATACAAATGATTGCGGGTGGAAGAAACCGGATTTAACGGATTATACGTTCATAATGTTACCCTCGAGTACTAACTCTTTCTTATCGTGATATTCGTTCTTCAGCGTCACAAATATAAGACATAAGTCGTATTTGTTTTGTTTATATTTCCGGGCTACCTTTGTTATTAAGTCAAAATCATTCACCGAACACGGTACTAAATTTTAAAACTATTTATTTGTTTGTTTTATTTTTATTTTTTATTTTATTATAATTTTTTATCGAAAAAAAAAAAAAAAAGGTAATAATTCAGGATTTATTTTTAATAAAATTTAGTTTTTTAATGTGTTTTGTAAATCCGGAAATGAGTGAGAGCATGTGTGATATACATCGAACTTATGTTGACGTCTGTCACTTATCTAAATGGACAGCCGTAACTAAATGAGGGACAAAAGAGTCCATTAGAATTTGATGATGGTGTCAAATTGACTAGATTATTTATCTAATCCTTGAATCTAAAACTAAATCCACAATCATTTGCATTTATAGTTGTGTTTAAGTCATCGTAATTTCATCATTGATATATCATTAATCATCACCTTGTGATTAACGAGTTGCAAAAAAAAAAGTATACTTATTATACTTAATCTAGTTTTTATTTAATTACATATAATGTTAAAAACATTTTAATCTATTTTATTACTTTAATTTAATATTTAAAATTTTTTTTATGTTTTAGATTTATTTAAATTTATCTCTATTTAAATATGACAAAGTTATTATAAAATAAAAAGGATAAACGAGTAAGTCGCGAAGTGACACCGACCAAAAATAAATAAAATGATAGAATATAAAAATATTATATTGTATAGACAAGAATAAAATATAAAAAAAAATTTGAAAACGAAGAAGAAGAGTATAATCTTAACTGGAGAAAGACGTATGTTATAAAGGATCCCCTGTCGACCGCATTCCACGAGCCATTTTATTTTATTGGCCCGATACGAAGGGTGTCAAATGTAACACGACAACGGGCCCACCTACCTAATATATTACTCAGTGAGCCAGAGACCGGAGATCTACTTTGGACACCTAAACACAAAACTTGAATTTTGTATCAAGAATTTTAAAATAAAAAATAAAAAAATATAAATATACATTATATTTTCAGATACCCATGAAAAAAGATACGGATTTTTATAAAAGGACACTACCAATACCTACTTTATACTCTATATACTATACCTAGTACAGCTCTTTCGAGTATTGTAAACTTGACATGACATATTTTTGACAGATTCTGTCTGATTTGGTGTCGAGTGACAGGTCTAAGGGGCTGGAAGCACCTAAAATTTTTCTCGCGGTTGACGTCACGCGATCACAATCACGCAGGGTGTTTTAAAATGAAAGCAAGATAAGAACTATGGTATTTTTCTAAAATTTCATTCACTACACGGAAAAAAGTAAACTGTAATATTCACTCGGATTCCGGTTAATTTTTATAGTTTTAAACAGTAAAGCGGACATCGGGGTGGTAAAAATATAAATATTACAGAACTTAATGTAGAAAGTTCAAAAGCCACAATTTATAATTTAATATCCAAAATAAGTGATTAGTAGCTGTCACTATAGTACATAACGACTCTTTTATCTTAAAAAATTACAGTTTCCAACAGTAAAAATTGCCATTTCAATATATAGTCCATATTATGAGGAGAAAGGGAACTCAGATGAAAGAGAAGGGGGTCTCACTCTGGAAGAATTTAACATTTGAAACAGTAAAAATTATACTTTTTAAATATACATTTTACCAGTCCAAGCAAGTCAATAATTACAGTTTGATTTTTAACGTTGTGTTTAAAATTTACCATTTTACTTTATAAATATTGACGTTGCTTGTATTAAAAATTTACTAACTTTATTTTATACTTTTTACATAACATAAGATCATTTTTTAGGTACGAAATGATAAATATCAAAGTCTGAATTCTTAATTATTATACTTTAACATTTTAGATATTTACATAGTGAATATTACTGCTTGAAATAGTATTTTCTTCCATTGTAACGTTTAAATGGTAAATATTATAAAGTGAATAGTAAAATCACAATTTTACTGTTTGAAATGATAATTTTTAGCAGTTGATTATTACTTATTATAAATCGACTGTTATTTATTACAATTTACTTTTTTCCGTGTAAAATTTTAAATTAAAAAAAATTATCATTGTAAATTGTAGTAATAATAATATAAATTATTATTGTTATTTAGCATTGTTATTCAATATGATGACAAGTAAATGACGGTATACATGATGTCCCATTGTTGTGTGGACTATACTCGTGTACCTCGCAATTCTTTCTGTTTGGAAACGTGTCCAGATCATTCCATAGAGACTGGAGATGTTGCCAGGGGCGTTTCCATTCATTCGTCAGATTTTTTATTATATTCCCACTTATTCTTGGTGGATCGTCTCAATTCGTACACAACACACATTTTATTCTGTCCTCGCTCTAAAGCTCCAGCCCAGAGCAACATAGATCCTTACGTATACTTACATTTATTATATGCCCATGTGTATGCATTATAGGGCCCAATACTGAATAATAGCTGTTGCTGAAGGCAAGTCAGTTTGTTGACGAATTGAGAACATCCGTAAGAAATATAAATATATATCTATGCTGAAATATGATATTTAATTCAATTTATATCTAACAATCCGTGTTATGTTGTGATCTTGTTTTTTTTAAAGTCAAACATGAAAACTAAAACTTTGGTTTTTCTTACAGATTCTATTTGGTTTGATGTCAAAAAATTTTAAGATTTTAAAATCGGTTTACATTGATTAATATATTTTGCATCGAAAAATTCATTTGATTTAAAAGACAAGTTTTTGAACCAAGAAAATTATTTTGCAGAATTTCATCTCTTGAATCAAGATACAAATATTTAAATTAAATAAAAAGAAATTTTAGATTTGATAATAATCTATATTATTAAGAGAATAAGATAAATTTTGTTTCCAGGATAGTCATATGATAAATCGGGTTTTTTTAGTGAAATTTAGTGTCATTGCAAAGGTCTTGATTTGAATTTGTGCCTTTTTGAGGTTTCATTTCATTTTCACTGATAGTCAATTTATGATGATAAGTATTTAGGCTGTATTCAAAAATTCTCTATCTCTAGATACATAATTGAGAAATGACCTTGTATCTTGTGAAATATTGACATTTTTAAAGATATAAGCTTATCCCGATATTACACTCATCAAGACCTTTCATTTGAGTACCCACATTAATTTTTCATATATATATATATATATATATATATATA